GCCATTTTTTCTCCCTGTCCTCCTGGCTCTCTGCCCTTCACTGCTTTCGTCATTCCTAGAATCTCTTTGGAATTATTGCTAGTGTCCTCCACCTGGGGAACATTTGTTTTAAAGAAGATGACCAAGGCTGTGCCACCATCCCAGACACCCACGAGATCAAATGGATCGCAAAGGTGATGGTCTACTTTTGAAGTCCAGACCCTCTCAGAGGCAGAGGGGGTGGGAGGTGGCAGGATGCCCCTGTCCCGAATGGCCGATGCCATGTTCTCTCAGTGGATGCTGGATAAGGGGTGTAAAGAGCATGGGGGCAGAAGAGGGAGTGCGCGAAGGCCAGTTGGTGGAAAGATCCAATGTGGTCTGTTTTGCACTAAAGCACAACGATAACCCTGAGCCTGGAAACCCCCATAAACTCTTTAGAAGTTAATGAGTGAACCTGGGTCGCTGACCCGCACTTTGGTTTCCTTTTATTCAGCTCCTGGGGGTCCACCCATTGGTCCTTCTGGATGCTCTCACCCACAGAAAGATTGAAGCCAAAACTGAGGAGGTAATAATGAGTCTTGTAGAAATGTACCTACCTGCCTTCCTTGTCACTGCTGCCTCCCACAGATAGCAGGAGGATGGTGGCCTAGGGGATGCCGAACCCTGGAACCCACCAAACCCACTCGGCCTGTTTGGTCCAGCTTCTACCAGAGTCTCCTGCCTCAACCCCACCCTCAGCACTAGCTCTTCATGCCTCATACTCACCATGCCTGCTCCCTCTGCCTGTTCCCACATGCTGTTCCCTCTGCCTAGAACATGTCTCCCTATGCTCTGGCCAGCTAACTCCTCCTCATCCTTCAGTTCACAGGCATAACTTCATCAAGGAGCCTTCCTTGCCCACCCCCACCCCAAGCACCATCTGTATCTCGTTACAGCTCTTGTCATTCTCAACTTGAAACTCTTCTTTGTGTGATTCTTCAAATATCCGCCCAACCCCACTGAACTGTGAGCCCACAAAGGCAGGGACTGTTTGTCTTTGATCACAGCTATGTTTCAGCAGCCCAGCACAGAGCCTGGCACATAGCAGGCACTCAAGAAATAGCTATTGCGTGAATGAACACAGGCAGGAGAGCCATCTTCCCAAAGCAGGTGTCTTTTGCTATAGATACCAGTTACTGTCAAGTCGATTCCAACTCGTGGTGACCCCGTGTGTGTCAGAGTAGAACTGTGCTCTACAGGGATGTCAGTGGCTGATTTTTTGGATGTAGATCACCAGACCTTTCTTCCAAGATGCCTCTGGGTGGATTCCAATTGCCAACCTTTCGGTTAGCAGCCAAGCGGGTTAAACGTTTGCACCACCCAGGGACTCCATGTTCTGTGCTAGTCGTCGTTAAAGGCTAGTTTGAAAACCTTGGGGGGCTTTTTTTATTCTTGTCTTGATGATGCATCTGGTCGTTCTTCTCAGGTAATCTGCCCACTGACACTAGACCTCTCTGTCTATGCCCGAGATGCCATGGCGAAGGCCGTGTATGGACGAACATTTACTTGGCTGGTCAACAAGATCAATTCCTCCTTGGTTAACAAGGTTAGTCAACACATTTTGGCTGACTTGCTCTTACTAACGTTGTAATATTTCATAATGAACAGAGTGATAAAATGTGAGAATTCACCATAAGCTCCTCATGGGCAGGGACGGTGTCTCTTCTCATCTGCATTTCCAGTGTCCAGCACACAGTAGGCTCACAAAAAAAATGTGCACTGAATGATTCAACAGTGTGTCCCTGTCATATAAATGAGTCAAACATGGCCTCTGTGTCTTGGCCCCACATCATTGACTTCTTCATATGAGGCCCGTTAGTCCAAAAAACAGACCACCTGCTACCAAACTCAAATTTGTACACATCCAACTGTTTTTTAAAATAACCCAAATAAGCAGATTTTTAGCCATTTAGAGCCAGTCTGCTTTACATACATTGCAAAACTGTACCCTGTATCTGCTAGCCACGTTACTGTTGTTAGGTGCCATCGAGTCGGCTCTGACTCATAGTGACCCTGTGTACAACAGAAGGAAACACTACTCGGTCCTGCGCCGTCTTCACAATCGTTGTTATGCTTGAAGCCATTGTTGCAGCCACTGTGTCAGTCCATCTTCTTGAGGGTCTTCCTCTCTTTTGCTGACCCTCTACCTTACCAAGCATGATGTCCTTCTCCAGGAACTGATTCCTCCTGATAACATGTCCAAAGTAATGAGTTGAAGTCTTGCCATCCTCAGTTCTAAGGAGCTTTCTGGCTGTACTTCTTCCAAGACAGATTTGTTCATTCTTCTGGCAGTCCATGGTATATTCAATATCCTTCGCCAATACCATAATTCAAAGGCGTCAGTTCTTTGATCTTCCTTATTCATTGTCCAGCTTTCCCATGCATATGAGGCGACTGAAAATACTATGGCTTGGGTCAGGCACACCTTAGTCCTCAAAGTGACATCTTTGCTTTTTAACACTTTAAAGAGGTCTTTTGCAGGTCTGCTTGCCATAGGTAAGATAAAACCTTGTAGTTACAGTAAAACCCGCAAAAGCCAGAAACTGTATGAGGTGGAAACCTGTCAGAGAAGGAAAATGCAAATATTTTCCACTAAAGGATTGATAGAAAAGTGGTAAGACTGCACCCTGTCAAAGGTGGAAAACTTGCGAGACCCAGAAAAACAAAGCAGTCCCACTGCGTTCCGCCTCTCACAGGTTTCACTGTGTAAGGGCTCCCTTTACCTTTGGAGCTCTCAGAGACTCTCACCTGGCTGCAGGAGGACATGGTGAAGGCACCTAGGCTCCCCTCCCTTCTCCTTCCCGGGTTTTTCATGGCCTAATTCTACTCTGTCCTATAGGGTGGCTGTGAGTCAGAATCCACTTGACAGCAATGGATTTGGTTTTTTCAGGTCCCCTTCTGGTGGAGGACCTCCTCCTGTGGGGAACCCCTGGATTGAATGTGGGCTTGGGAGGCTGAGGAGGGCTGAAGAAAGAAAGTGAATCAAAAACGGAAGGTGGTACTATTCGGGTGATGAGTGTGGAAGCAGGGATGGGATATAGGCAGGCTGCAGACAGGAAGTGAGGCAGGAAAATAATTTCCACCCAGGAGTTCTCCTGCGAGTCATTGTTAGAGAGAGGGGGCATGAGCTTTATAGCCAAGTCCCAGCTGTGGGGGTAGCAATGGAGTTGTTTTTTTTAATTGTTTGTGGTGAAAATATAACAAAACACTTGCCAGTTCGACATTTTTTAACATGGACAATCTAGTGACACTGATTACGTTCATCATGTGCAACCAGCACCCCATCCGTTTCCAAATTATTCCATCACCCTTGACAGAAACTCAGTGCCGCCTAAGCAATGACTCTCCCTTTCTCCCTCCCTCTCTCCTGCCCCTGGTAACCAATACCAAGCTTTGGTCTCTATCCGTTTGCCTATTCTAGATATTCATATAAGTGGGATCATACAGCATTTGCTCTTTTGTGATGGACTTATTTCACTCAGTATGTTTTCAGGGTTCATCTGCGTTGTAGCATATATCAGAGTTTCATTTCTCTTTATGGCTGAGTAGTATTCCATTGTATGGATGTGCCACATTGTGTTTATCCATTCATCTGTTAATGGACATTTAGGTTGTTTCCACCTTTCGGCTATTGTGAACAGTGCTGCAATGAACACTAGTGTACAAATATCTCTTGGTGTCCAAGCCCCTGCTTTCAATTCTTTTGGGCATATACCTAGGATTGGGATTGCTGGGTCATATGGTAATTCTATGTTTAACTTATCTAGGAAAAGCCACAGGGTTTTGAGCATCACAATGTCAGAGATCTAATGAGTTATGGTATATGTGATTTGACTAGGATTTCACCAGGAAAACAGTGATTGGGTTGCTGGATATCTATGGGTTTGAAGTCTTCGATAAGAATGGGTGAGTTTTGTCATTTCCTATCCGTTCTTCATTCGTCCCTCTTTAGGATTTCAGTCGAGGGCCATAACATCTCTAATGTAATCAGAATTGATCTTCCCATCCCTAGAAATTCCCTAATTTTCATAGCCCCTATTTCACAGACTCTTCTAGAACTGGGATAACCAAAAACATACCAACATCTCTTAGCTTGACTCTTATGATCTATTTAGTAAATTATTTTATTAATAAGGACTTTGTTTTCTCTTTATTACAAAGCCTCCTTAAAAATAAGTAAATATAATTTTTAAAAAATTGGTCTGTTTGCATAGCTTTAGTTATTTAAATCTTCCGCATCTCTAGTTTTGAACAGTTCTGTATAAATTATTGCAATGAAAAACTCCAGCAACTGTTAATAGAGAGGACCCTAAAGGCGGAACAGGCGGAATATGAAGTGGAAGGTATAGAGGTAAACGTTTTGATGTTTTCTCCCCATTTGATTTCTTAATCTAGCGAAAGCATTTACGTGAGAACTATTATGTCATTGGCGATTTTCTTGATTAGTACTATGGATTATTTTTCACTCCTCTGCTTGTTTCTTGGGAAATCATTTTGATATTCAGAAAGTATTATTTTTTAAATCCTGGATATAAAAATCAGATTTTGAAAGAAATTTCTGGTAAATCAATGTAGCACAAGTGTATTTTATGCTCATGGAACTCCTTCTTAGAGAATTGTTTCCTCTTTGTCATTTTAGTGGGAGCCAATTCAATATTTCAACAACAAGATCATCTGTGACTTGGTAGAAGAGCGACACAAAGGCATCATTTCCATTCTGGTGAGAAAACGCACGTTGACTTAGAGCTAATGCATATGGTGTTTACAACATGGAGAAGAACGCTTCCCAGGCTCAAGGAGTTCAGAGCGGAACCCACTAGATTACTGAAGGGTGCAAGTCGAGCTCTTTTGCTCTACCCTTGCTTGGAGCTTTAGGTGGCGCTTTTGGCCATCCCTGGGTGGTGCAAAC